AGCCGGAAGGCAGCCGCTCTGCAAAATTGCATTGAACATGTCAGACAAGTAGTGCAACATATCGTCTCCGCCAAAGAGGAACATCTCCAGCAAGGCGCCCTTCGTGTCAGCACCTCTGCGTCGTCTCATCGCTTTGACTGCCTTCGCAAATTCTTCGACAGGAACGGCTGGCACCTGGCCCTCGCCATGCTCACCCGCGTCGGGCGGCGCGCTGGGCGCGTATATCTCCGACAACAGGTCGGCACATTTGCGAAAATCTAGACCCTGTTGCGAAGATCTTGCGATAGGGAATCTGCGCAGCGCGTTCGGGCGACGAAGAGATCACCGAAGCAAGCGAGCACCTCAGTTGTTCTGGCTGTCTGTCGTGCACGAGACTCTTTCCGGCTCAGCCTCCAGATCTCCTTTGAGGTATCTCGTCTCTCGGCCGGGTTGGTCATGCTTGCTTCTCCTCCTTCTTCGCAGACTGTCCAAATGGCTGCCCCCGTTGCTCTGCTGGGCGGGCAACCGGGGCCGCTGCGACTCTCCAGCTGCAAGAAGAGCGACGCGCTCCACGTCGCCCAGAGATGCCGGAGGGAACTCCTGAGCAGCGATCTTCTGGGGCACCATGGTGGCATACATCTCCCAATCAATGTCTTTGTGCGTCTGCCGGCGCTTCCGTCGACTCCTCTGCCAAGCCAACGCCGGAGCTTGAAGGCGCACCTGCACCGGCCTGTGATCTGAACCGAGGTCAAGCATGTTCGTCGGCTTTGCACTGTGGAAAGACGTGCAACTGCTGACCATGACGTACTCCAGACGGCGGAGTCGTCCGAGGCAGCTGTGGAAAGTCCACTGACACTCTAGAAGCTCATCCTCGACTACGTTGCAAATCACAAGATCCAGCTTGGAAGCGAAAGCTGATAATATTGCAGTTCTCCTGCTTCTTCCAACATCGGTATTGAAATCTCCGCCCAACGCACACCGGTAGTTATGGCTCTGGGCTTCGGGAGCAGCAAAACGAATCTCGCTCAAACGCTCTATGATATCGTCGTGCGGGTAACCCGCGTGCGGAACGTAGACGCCTATCCATCTGTAGGTGTGCCCCCCAATACGTGTGTCGCAATGTAGAACTCTGCCCGGAACGGCCTTGTAGTCGAGAGCTTTGTCGACCCAGCGGGCGTGGATGAGCAAAGCTACTCCTGCAAATTCCTGTCCACATAAGCTGCTTAACAGTCTGTGTCCCCCTTGCAACAGGACATCCCCATCTGCTGCCCTAGCTTCGCTAAAGCAGATGTAGTCCCAAACGAATTCTCCGCACTCTGCCAAAACCTCTGCAAGTTTGTTATCGCCGTTTAAGTGGGCACTCTTGCAGAACATCCAGAGCGATTGCTCCTGCACGCAAGCACTGTTGTTCGACCGGGCTGCCTCCTAATGCTTCCGCTTCCCTTTGCCAGCGCCTTTGGTTGGATGGGCCCCTTTTGCCAGCTTCGCATCGGACTCAAGGCGCAGCTTGTCCAAATCCTCGCACGAAATTTCTTTCTTCCATTCATCGGTGGTGAACGTAACGACGAGCTTGGCACCATCAACTTTTGAAGACAAGACTGAATCGAAACCAACTTTCACACACATTGAATCCAAATCTGCCCACGCCGACTTGCGGTCGTATCCCCACTCAATCATCGTGCGCTTGACGCTGAAAAGAAACGACTGGTTCACACGTGCATCCAAAGGAAGATCCGGTTTGGCCCAGACCTTGTGGGAGCCGTGCTGGATCCTTGCCTCCTTGAGGGTCTTCACTGCGATGTCCCGGTCGACTTGAGAAGTAAACTTCAGAAAGAGGATGCCGTTGAACTCGCCCTTGACGTAGTGGTCAACAGGATAAGGTGCCCACTTGCTCCAAAGAGCGTCACGGACCAACTTGAAGGCGTCGTCGGTGTTTCCACAGTCTTTCAGGCCGCCGACGACGGCAGTAAGAGAACGTGAATTGTCCACTGATGGGGTCGCTGTCGGCATGGACGTTGCAAGTTTGAAGTTCGCGAGTTCGTCCTCCAATGACTTAATGTGTTCCCAGACTTCTTCCTCCGTCTGGGACCCTGCGCCAGAGCCCCTCGAGTCGGTGGACATTGCATTCTCGATGCTCGTGATGCGGACTTCGATGTCCTCAACACGAGTCTCTGTGGATGCCATTCTCGACTCAAGCGAACCTCCCAAATCCGACAATGCCCGCTCCAAACCCAAAGTCGAATTTTGAAAGGGCTGGATCCGTTGTTTCATGATTTCCGCAATCTGAGACAAGGTAGGCTGAGATGTTCCTGAGGAACGTTCCTCTGCCAATGCCTCGGGCGGGGTACCTGGAGCTGCCGGTGTAGATAGCTGCACCTCCACCGGACGTGGCGGAGAGAGATCCAGGCCGTCCATTTCGTGAAGTGGACTGAAAAGGCGTTGCCGGACTTCACGTTCGCCTGGCACTCCACGCACTGGGGTACCTGGCTGCCGCGTGCTCGCCGGCATGGCAGGCGTCGATCCGCAATGGGCAGAGAAGAGAGAAACAGATGATAGGGCAATCGGTGGGATGTGAGGGAAAAGTGAAGTAAGGGTATCGGATGTGAGCCTTGAGCCCTACGAGTCCACAAAACGTGTGAGGGGCGTGCCAGTTTGGCGACGGGTGCGGGGGTGGGGGCGCATGTGAACCCTCCCACTGGGACCTTTGGTGGGGCTCCCTATTGGGCCACGAAACGTTTGAGGGGCGTGCCGAAACAGGAGTGACGCCCGCATGCGAACTGCGCCACTGGGACCTTCGGTGGAGCTCCCCACGGGGCACGACACGTGTGAGGGGCGTGCCGAAGCGGCGGGACGCCCACATGCGTACTGCAGCACTGGGACCTTCGGTGGAGCTCCCTGCGGGGCCACGAAACGTGTGAGGGGTGTGCCGAGACGGTCACGCTGGGACCTTCGGTGGAGCCCCCTTACGGGGCCACGAAACGTGTGCGGGGTGTGCCGATACGGGCGTGATGCCCACATGCGAACTGCGCCACTGGGACCTTCGGTGGAGCTCCCCACGGGGCACGAAACGTGTGAGGGGTGTGCCGATACGGGCGTGACGCCCACATGCGAACTGCGCCACTGGGACCTTCGGGGGAGCTCCCCACGGGGCCACGAAACTTGTGAGGGGTGTGCCGAAACGGGCGTGACGCCGTGACGCCCACATGCCCACTGCGCCACTGAGACCTTCGGTGGAGATTGGGGCCACGAAACGTGTGAGGGGTGTACCGATACGGGCGTGACGCCCACATGCGAACTGCGCCACTGAGACCATCGGTGGAGATTGGGGCCACGAAACGTGTGAGGGGTGTGCAGAAACGGGCGTGACGCCCACATGCGAAGTGCGCCACTGGGACCTTCGGTGGAGCTCCCTGCGGGGCCACGAAGGGTGTGCCGAAACGGGCGTGACGCCCACATGCAAACTGCAGAGGAGAGGGAGGAGAGGAGAGGAGTGGAAAGAGAGGAGAGGCGAGGAACGCGTGGCGCTTTCTGTTCAAAACGAGGACCCAATAGCACAGGATGGTTTTGGAAAAACACATAGAGACCAGGGACAAGTCAAAGACACCCAGAAGGAACCGTGTTGTCGGGTACCGCAGCGCACCGCCGGACATTCTGGTAACCAGGGCCTGCCCCTGGCAAGCAAGGAAAGATCTACTTAAAGTGCAGGCATCGTTTGCGGAATCTCTGCGGGCCATCGCTGAGCATTTGCCTAGCACGTGAGTGCAATGGGAAGTGCTATGCGAAATCCTCCTGCAATGGATGTAAGGCGGGCGCGCATGCCGCCAATACTCATACGAGGTCCCCAGGCGTCTGCGAGTCCCCGAAGCCACTGTGGGACTAGAAGTTTCTGCGCGGCACCTGCTGGCAAGCCAATCATTCATTTGGTACGCCTGCGTATCACAACTCAACGCGCCGCTTGTGGACGGGGCCAACATGCCGGACCGCACGGACTACATCTGGCCGCCGCCCCACGCCCCGCCCCGCCGTCGTGAGAAGGGCCTGATCAAGCCCAGCCAGAATTAGAGAAGAACTTTTGGAAGGGGTGGACGGACTCTCCCTCAACTGGCACGCCAGAATTGGAGACAGAAGAGATGGGGACGATGACCGTCACCAAATGCTATCCGAACGGGCAACACTGGCCGTTGGGCAGGCGACGTCCGTCCCAACGAGTAACGTCTGCGGCGACATCGACAGCGAACCCTCCTCACCATGGACAGGAGCGGCTGTCGGTCTTCGTCTCCACTCTTGCCCATCCCAATTGGTCGCCGCGCCTTGTCTTCTCGGCGCGCCCAGGCAAACCAACCGTGCCCGAGGCGGCGTTTGCCCTGGTGCCCTCGGCGCCCGTCAGAAGACGGAAGGCGGCGCGTTGGAACAACTCGCGCGGCGACATGTGAATCCTCCCGACCGGAGGGGAACGCAGTTCCACACGATAGCGTAACGAAAACGACAGGAATATGCACTTTCGGAGGCCTGCGCAGACTTCTCGGGTAGGCGGTTGACCCCCGACCCTGGGCGCGCGAAGCTCGCGAGGGGCGGCGCCGCCATGGGGAAGGGGTCAAGTGCCGACCAGAACAACTCTGCGCAGATCCCCGGGAATAGATGCCAGTAGAATCTGTTGCCATTCAACCCTCGGGGCCGGCTCGGCGGAGGAAAGGCTGAGCACGTGGCTGGCTGCATGTGTCTGGAGCTGGTTCCTGACACCGCGTGAAACCTTCAGACGCCCTGAATGACCACGGCTTTCCGATGGCGCATATCGCTCGACTCCAGCCTCCGGCCTTCGCTCCCGCGCCGATCCAAGGAATCTGCGCGGACCTCCAACAAATTACGCGTATGTGTTTGGTTGGTCCCCCGAACGCCTGCGCTGAGGAGCTGGCGGCGCCAAGCCTCGAACGCCCGCGCCTCCACTCGATGGCCCCGACCGCCAGGTCGGTGCGAACCCCCGGGGTTCAGGGCGGTGGCGGGCTCGGGGCCGAGCTCCCGGCAGGTCGGCGAGCGCGATGGAGTTGGAGCCAAGGGTGGCGAGCTCCAGGGCCAACATCTGCCTGGCCGCGCCGCCAGCAGGCTCGTGCCAGAAACCCGGCACCCAAAAGCGCTGCATCTCTGGGAGGGCCGATGCTTCACCTCCGCTCGCTTCCGCTGGCTTCCACCAGCAGGGCTGACCCCCTTGCGTTTCCGCCGAGGGAGAGCGGCCAAATTCTCGATCCCTCAAGGGCGAGACCCAGTCTGGAGCACCCAGCGACGATCCTCTTCCTCCCGGCACGTGGCTGACCATGCTAAGTTTTGCCCCAGACCGTCGAGGATCGAGCGGAACGTCTCCAGCGGAAGCCTGGAAAATTAGCCTGGCGAGGGACCCAACCATATGCAGTTGTGAGTGACGCCATTGTGAGGATCGTTTTCGGTGGAGCTCCCTATGGAGCCACGGAACGTGTGAGGAGTGTGCAGAAACGGGCGTGACGCCCACATGCAAACTCCGCCACTGGGACCTTCGGTGGAGCTCCCTATGGGACCACGAAGCGTGTGAGGGGCGTGCAGAAACGGGCGTGACGCCCACATGCGAAGTGCGCCATTGGAACCTTCGGTGGAGCTCCCCAGGGGTGTGCCGAAACGGGCGTGACGCCCGCATGCGAACTGCAACACTTGGGCCTTGGGTTGAGCTCCCCATGGGGCCACGAAACGTATGCGCCGAAACGGTAGACTGATGCGGAGAGAAGAGGCACGGATGGAAGGAGGGAGGAGAGGGGGGAGGAGGGAGGAAGGAAAGAAGGAAGAAAGGAAGAAATGAAGGAAGACCCAACACCACAGGATGGCTGTGAGAAACAGAGCGCAAGTCTTATGTCCAGCGCACGCTCGTGTCAACTCTTATATGCCTACGGACGCGCGGCCTCATTCATACACGCGTTGAGGAAGGACGAGTGAGGCGTTTGCTGCTTCTCTATCGGTTTTCTGTTCCGTTCTGGACTCCTCTCGAGACTTCGGGGCCCCAACCAAGGTGTGGTGACGGGCCACGCGACAACCTTGGAATCCCCAATGACCTCACCGCGCGGTCGGTCACCGTACGGTTTTGGGACCTTGGGGCTCCAGTCGCCCGAGACGTCCTCAAAGAACGACCCGAATCCCAAAATCGTGCGGTGAATCCCTACTGACTCACCCCGCGGTGTGGTCACCACGCATTTGGGGGGCCTCCGAAAGACCCCAAAGGCCTCCATGGAAACCTCCTGGGGCCTCCAGTGAAGTCGGGATCTTGGGCGGAGGCACACAACTAGAACCAGCCGACGACCCTCCTTTGCAAGATTCGCGTTGGGCTCCAGTGCATGTTGTTCCAACAGTGCTGCGTGAAAAAGAAAATATACGTCTGCAATGGTACCTCCGCTCTACCACTCTCCCACTATTTCCCCCACGAGCGACGACAAGAAACGCGTCGTGCGGTCTTACGCAAGAAATCATAACGACCTTACGCCGCGGCTTACGCGGGCCGCCAGCGTGCCACACAGCATGGAAAACAGAGCGCTTACGCAAAAACCTACGTAGCGTGCCACACCCAGCGTCCTTACGCAAAAACCTACGCGCGAATGTCAGCGCAGTCGACCCCGATTTGTTCCTGCGCTCAAGTGGTTGCCACAACGCCTAGCGGAGCATACAGTCCAATACAGCCAAGCAACTACCATAAGGCACGCTGGATCAGGAGCGAATCCTCCCTTTGGCCCGCACAGCGCTGGGGTGCACGAGCAGCGTGAGAGGAACATCTGTGGAAGGCCTGAAAGAAGAACGAGCGCCCTCTGCGAACCCGAGCTGTTCCTGATTTCAGCGCCTTGGCTGCACATCGGCAGAGAATTGGTACGCCTGGCCGCATGGGCGCTTGCAGACAAGGCGGCGGGCAGCGAAGACTCGCCGGCGGCCGCACTGGTCTGGTGCCCCCGTGTTGCTCACCACTGAAGGGGGCGAGGGCGTGCGGGAGCGGTGAGACCCAGACACGCGATGTCCTGATGTGTCAACGCGGGGTCCCCAAGGGTCCAGGGTCCCGACCCTCTCCAAAAGGTCGGGCTCAGCCTCTGCAGGGCGAGGATTCAATCGCATGCCTTCGCGGATCTTTCGATATGGGAGCCTATTGACAACTTGGGTCAGCTTGGTGCCATTCGTTGGAGGCCTTTGGTTCTCTATTGGGACCCACTTGGGGGCCTTGGGAACCCGCTTCGAGACATGTTCGAGGCTAGTATTTTTTTCACAACGCGAGCATGTCTGGGGAACCATCGTCGTAATGCTGCTGCTTTGCCCTCCAACCAACGTTTCTCCAAAAGCCCTTCGGCCGCTGCCGCCGGCTCCCCCCCAATCAAGGCCACCGACGTTGCACCTCGCACACTCCGCTTCCTGGGTTGCTGGAGATGGCTAAGAGAAGTCGGATGGAAGCTGGCGAGGGCCCCAAGACAGCCAGGGCGACCACAAAAGTACCCCAATCAAAACATGCTCGCGTCGTGAAGAAATCACGACTGAGGTTTTGGCCGCTTTCGGCCCCTGGGGGCCCTCGCCGGGCCCTGGGGCCGTCAAAAAACGACTCGGGATGACAAGTCGGCCCCAGAGAAGGGGTCAAGGCCTCCAGGGGACCATGGGGTCAATAAATCAGGGCATCGCATGTCTGGGAAGGCAGCCAAGACGGCCCAAGCGGCCGCAAGAGCCGCCCAAGAGGCCTTGCGAGATCGAAGGCAAACCCCAGGCGAGGACCCACGAGAGGCCTGAGGCGGTCACAAAGAATAGAGACCGCTTGCTTCTCGATGGCCTCTCCCTCCCGCGCGCCGTCCCCGAAACTGCCTCCAAGATACGCCCAAGAAGAACCCCCGGGGCACACCCAGGACCGAGGACGACCGTCCAGACAGCCCCGAGGGCGACCCCCTCGAAGCCATCCCTATTAACAAAAAAAACATATGAAGAGTGCACTTTGCGGGAAAGTCTTGGGTCCTGTTCAATGGGTCCCGCGAACACTTCGTACTTTTTGACATGGACGGCGGGGGTGCCAGCACATTGCCTGCTGCGCGCAGGGCCGCCATCCTCTCCAAAAACAATACAAATCGCATTTCGCAGCTGAATCTAAAACATCCGCGGCCACCCCGCGATCACCTTGCATTGGTTTCTGACAGGGACGGCGGCAATGCCGGCACATTGCTGGCTGTGCGCGCTCCCACAAGACATCATGCTGGCCACTCCGCCGCGACTGTGCACTGGCGTTCAACAAAAAAGTTGGGGGCCGACATATTTCCCGATGTGTGCGGGCGCACCTGGCACACTCCGCGCGTGCCCCGAAAGTAGCGTACCTGGCGCGGCTGGGGCATGCGGCGCACTTGGCGCACGTGGAAAACGCAAGTCGCGCGCCTGGCGCGCCAGGCGTGCCTGGGACACTTGTGCCCCAGGAGGGCTTGGCGCGCCTAGTCCGCCTGGCGCGCCTGGCACGCGTGGCGCGCCTCGCCCCAGCGTCGTGCACCTGGGGTCTGCACTGGTTCCGAATAGCTGCTTATCCAAAAACACCCACCGAACATGCTAAGACTCGGGTACTACTTCTCGGGAGGGCGATTGGGAGTGAGCCTAAACAGTTTGCGTCTAGGAGAGGTGTCTTGACCTACCCCTACCCCTGGATCTGGACGGGGCGCCCCGCGAGTAGGTAGAGTGTCCCAGAAGGCCCCGGCGAGAAGGCACCACCCACTGATTTCCCGATCGTTTTTGGCTAGCGTTGGCCTCCTAGGCGAGGAGGACTAACTAAGGACCTCCCTTCTTTTATCCATAGCCTCTTAGATGGCCCAAGACGGCCCGAAACGCCCTCAAGAGAGCCCCCCGAAGTCCCAAGAGACCACCCAAAGGCTCCCAAGACCCCCCAAGAGCCCCAAGAGAACCTCGAGAGACACCCTCAGAGGCCACCAAGAGCCCCCCAAGAGGCGTCCCAATCGACTCCGAAAGGCATCCAAGTGGCCTCTAATTTACTAAGGCCCTCCGTGGTATCCAAACGATGCCACGCTCCCCAGTAAAGCATCGTCCCTGGATGTGGTGGCGGGGATACTGTTTTTGATCGCGACCGCAGGCGGGCACCCGCGCGGCGTTAGGAAGTCGCGAAAAGAGCGCAAACCGGTGCTGTCGCAGGCGAGGCGCGGAAAAAGGGCCCCGAAAATTGCGAAAACTACATGGCGGACCACAGCGGTAACGTGGCAGGGGCGACGGCGAACGAAAGAAACATGGGAATAGGCGCAAGAGCGAAGGAGCGGCGACGAGAGACACAGCAGAGGAAGAAGGCGAACAAGCGGACAACAGTGGAAGGAAAAGACAAGAACAGCGAACGAGAAGAGCTAAGCCGCAGCTCGCACGTGGAACAAGTAGAAGATCGTCCGCACTTTGCAGAACTACCTGTACTTGTTGTAAGCAGGCAGCAGGACCCGAAACCAATCCAGTCGGATGCGGTGCCGCGGAGAAACAAGGAGACCACGGAGCCGATGTACCAACGGCGGCAGGTGCAAATGGTAGCGCAGGAGCGCCATTGTTGAAGGTCATGCAGTACCCCAGGCCATCTCCAGGGCCAGCTCTGGGGCAAAAGAGTGCGGGGAGCCTCCCGTCTCTCGAACCCTGGGGGGAGCAAAAGGTGAAGGGGCCCGTAAGAGAGAGGCAGCAGACAGTTGCCAAGAGCTCGATTACCTTCGGGGGGGAAGCTGCTGAAGCAGAAGGAAAGTGGGTGCACGCGCCAATGCCGCCTACGAACGGCCCTGCGCCCGCCCGCCGAACAGCTGCAGAGCGATGGGGGTTTGCATCGCCTGGGACATGCAGCTTTCCGGTAGGATGCAGCTAACACCCGCGGGATGGTGGGAAGAAGTTTCGCCTGAGACGTATAACCGCCCAGCAACGGCATGAGTAGCAAGGGCGGACCGGGGGGCACGGGTCGCGCCTGCCAGTTCGGTTGGGGTGCAGCTAACAGCAGCAGGATTCAGGGTAATACCCACTTGAGACGAGCCGATGCCTTGCTGGGGCGCACCTAACAACCGCAGAAAAGTGAAAAACAATTACGCCTGAGAAAAGCCGATGCACGACCGGAGTGCAGCTGACCGCCGCGGTGAGATAGGAGAAAACTGCGCCAGAGATGTGCTGGTCTTCTGGTAGGGTGCAGCGAACAGCCGCAGGGAAATGGGAAATGGTTATCTTCGCCTTAGACATGCCGATGCCTTGCTGGGGCGCAGCTGACAGCCGCAGAATGATGGGAATAAGTTACATCTGAGACAAGCCGCAATCCGAGTGGAGCGCAGCTGACAGCCGCGGTGTGGTTGGGGAAACCTTCGCCTGAGACGTGCTAGCATACTGGTAGGGTGCAGCTAACAGCCGCAGAAACGCGGGGAAAAAATGGTTATCTCGTAGTTATCTGTTAGGGAGCAGCTGATAGCTGCAAGAAGAAGTGGGGTAATAGTAACATTCGCCTGAGACATGTCACGCCGGAGGTGGTACTCTGGTAGGGTGCAGCTAACAGCTGCAGGAAAGAGAGACATTGTTTCGCCTGAGACATGCAGCCTGGGGGGATAGGCCGCGTCTGCCAAGATGGGGGGGGGGGGGGGCGTAGGTAACAGCCGCAGAATGCGGGGAAGTGAGCCCGCCTGAGACAATGTCTACGCCAAGCAGGGGCGCAGGTAATCACCGCAAAGCGAGGGGAACATGTTACACCTGAAACATCCCGAAACTAGGCAGGAACGCAGCAGACAGCTGCAGTGAGATGGGGGAGGGCACCGCGATTGCTTCACCTGGGACATCCTAGTTCTCTGGCAGGCTGCAACTAACAGCCGCAGGAAGCTGGAAACTGGTAATCTTCGCCTGAGACACGTTACGCTTGAGATGGTCGGGCGGCCAGAGGGGAGAAGTTAGCAGCAACATATTGAAGGGCGACGGTGCCACCTCGGGCAACCTGAGCCGGAGTGCAGCTAACAGCCGCAGAACGTTGGATGATTGCAGCGCCTGAGACATACAGGTCCTCTGGTAGGGTGCAGCTAACAGCCGCAGGAAGGGGGATAAAGCTTCGCCTGAGACGCGCAGCCCGGGGGGCACGGGCCGAGCCTGCATAGAAGGTAGGGGTGCAGCAGACGGCCGCAGGATGCTGGGTAGTGGTACCGCCTGATACGTGACGACGCCCAGCTGGGGCGCACCACGCAGCCGCAGAGCGGGGGGAAAAGAAAACCCCAGAGACAACCCGAGACCCGGCTGGAGTGCAGCTGACAGCCGCAGTGTGGTGGGGGATTGCTTCGCGTTTGCTAGTCCCGGCGCTCTGGTAAGGTGCCCTTAACAGCCGCAGGAAAAAGGAAATGGTTAACTTCGCCTGAGACACACTGAAGCTCTGCGCGGGGGCGGCAAACGGGGGGTAGCCGAATGCCGCAGACGGCCACGAACCGGGTGAAGTGGCCAGAATGATCGTCGAGCCCAACCCGCAGGGAGAGGAAGGGGGGCCGCGGCCAGATCCACACCGGCGCGGCAGACAGCCGCAGCGGCGTGAAGCGGGCGGTGGACACGACGGCCGAAGGAGACGACCGACGAGGCAGGGCCCAGAGGGCAACCAACCAGAAGGAGGGCGGAGAGGCGACTAAAGAGATAAAGGGAGCTGCCAGGTGCAGGAGCAGACCCAGCGAGCCCAGGCCAGGCGGGCCGCCGCGGGCGGCGGCAGCCAGGTCCGCGGCGCCACCGCCACGGCAGCAGCAGCAGCCGGGGGCGGGCCCAGCCCGCGGCAGCCTGGTCCGCCCGCCGCCGCGCGCACGCCGGCCTCCACGGGGAAAGCGGCGGCGGCGGCGGCAGCAGCAGCAGCGGCCGCCGGGAGCGGGCCCAGGCCAGGCGGCCCGCCGCGGGCGGCGGCAGTCAGGTCCGCGGCGCCACCGCCGTCAGCCGCCGCGCGCACGCCAGCCTCCGGGGGGGGGCGGCAGCGGCGGCGGCAGCAGCAGCAGCATCCATGGGCGGGCCCAGTCCACGGCAGCCAGGTCCGCCAGCCGCCGCGCGCACGCCATCCTCCAGGGGGGAGGCGGCGGCGGCGGCAGCAGCAGCAGCAGCAGCAGCGGCCGCCGGGAGCGGGCCCAGGCCAGGCGGCCCGCCGCGGCCGGCGGCAGTCAGGTCCGCGGCGCCACCGCCGCCAGCCGCCGCGCGCACGCCAGCCTCCGGGGGGGGCGGCAGCGGCGGCGGCAGCAGCAACATCCAGGGGCGGGCCCAGCCCACGGCAGCCAGGTCCGCCAGCCGCCGCGCGCACGCCATCCTCCAGGGGGGAGGCGGCGGCGGCCGCCGCGGACAGCAGCATCAGCAGCGGCCGCCGGGAGCGGGCCCAGGCCAGGCGGCCCACTGCGGCCGGCGGCAGCCCGGTCCGCGGCGCCACCGCCGCCAGCCGCCGCGCGCACGCCAGCCTCCGGGGGGAGGCGGCAGCGGCGGCGGCAGCAGCAGCAGCAGCCGAGGGCAGGCCCAGCCCGCGGCAGCCAGGTCCGCCCGCCGCCGCGCGCACGCCAGCCTCCAGGGGGGAGGCGGCGGCGGCGTCGGCGGTTGCAGCAGCAACAGCAGCAGCAGCAGCAGCAACAGCAGCAGCAGCAGCAGCAGCAGCGGCAGCAGCAGCAGCAACAGCAGCAGCAGCAGCAGCAGCAGCAGCAGCAGCAGCTGGGAGCGGGCCCAGGCTAGGCGGCCCGCCGCAGGCGGCGGCAGCCAGGGCCGCGGCGCCACCGCCGCCCGCCGCCGCGCGCACGCCAGCCTCTGGGGGGAGGCGGCGGCGGCAGCAGCAGTAGCCGGGGGAGGGCCGAGGCCAGGCGGCCCGCCGCGGACAGCAGCAGCAGCAGCAGGGCGGCGCCGGCGCCGAGGCCAACGCGGCAGGCCGGGCGCGGCGCGTACCTGGACCCGGGGCGTGCACGAGCCGAGACGGCTTGAGCCAAGGCTACGGATGGTGATGGGGATACGCGAAGCGTCAAGAGTCTGCGTACACGTCCCCAAGCATTCACAAAGCACCCACCACAAATTCCGCCCCGCCATCCCGCCGGCCAACCCTGCGGCCAACCGCGCTGCCAACCTGGGATACGTAGGGTAAGTCCTCCCATACCGTATATCAATCACATCGGTCATCGCAATGTCGCCATGCCGCAAACGGTGAACGGGACACAGCGCCCGTTTCAAATGCTCTCCCCCTGAAGCCCCAAGCCCACCCAAACGCTTCTTGGGGCGCACATTTTGCTTCTGCAATATTCCTGCAAGAAATCACGACACTTTCCCCTGGGGTTTTGTTTTGTCCTCCATCCGAGTTGGATGGTCCAGGGGCCCGCAAATCGGACCCAGGAGGCCGAAAATGAGGTAACAAGCCGCATCAAAAACAAAACACCAGAAGCCTGGCGAGTGGGTCAAAGATTTCGATCCGAAACGCCCTCAATGCGGCGGCACCCGTGGCCTGCAGGCGCGGGCAGCCCCCCCAACCGCCCGCCCGCGCGCGCGCCTCATGAAGCCGGCATTCGGCCGCACTTGTGGCCGCCGCTCCCTGGAAGCTGATATCTTTACTCCGAGTCGCCGCTGCGGGCGCCACGTCCTTATTGTTACCCGACTCCTTCAACGCCCTCCTTCTACGTCCCTCTCATCTCTTCCACAGGAGCGAGCCGCGGGGGCCGCCGCTTCTGGCACCTATGTCGAGCGGCAGCCTTCGGGTAGTGGCTTACAGCACGCCGTGGAAGGTCCTGTTTCTCATGCTCCCCCTGCGGTGCGGGTGCATGAAGAATTGTTTGTAATTATTGCGGTGACGCCTTTAGCGATATACTGAATCAAACCCTCGTCGTGTCGATTCGGTTGTAGTTATTGTAAGGATTTTCTTGGCGCAGTGCTCAATCAAACCCTCGCCTTTAACATCCTTTCTCTCCCGTCTCCTCGTCCTCTTCCTCCTCGGCCTCACCCTCCTCCTCCTCCTCCTCAGCCAAGCGCCACCTCGGCTGGGCGTTCCTAAGGGTAACTTGCCAAGATGAGTTCACGGTTTTCCCGCCTAGGTCGTCCTGGCCCTTGTTCGGGGGCCACATCCAAGCTCACCTGCAAAGCAACGCCTGGTACCAAGGAGAATCCCCCATCCTCGAGCTCCTAATTCTCTTCACCATCCTCGTCGATGCAGCCCTCGTGTTACTCCTCATCCTCGATCCTCCCTCCTCTTGCTCAAAAGCACCCACATGCTCAAAAGCCACAACGGGGTCTTTATCCGCCGAATTGGTGGCCAAGGCAGCCAGTACTGAACCTCGGCCACCGTCGAGGATGTCCCTGGAACCCTGGGCAACACCTAAGAGATGGCATGACGACTCTCAGAAGCCTCCAGAGGTTCAGCAAGGGCCAGAAGAGTCAGAAAACCTAGACCCTCGGCCCTGGACCCTCTCCATCTACAGAGCCTGTTGCCCCGCTGTGCGCTCAGCGTGGACGGTCTCGCCGGAAGTCCTTGGCGATGGATGTCCTCAGCGGAAGGATGTTCTCGCCAAATTATGAGGTTGCCGATGTATTCGGGCGCCAGCGGCGCGTGCCAATTCTGCTCAGAGCCAGCCGCGGATCAAGAACATGTCGTTTGGAGGTGCACCGGGCTTGCTCACCGTCGGCCCCCAGCCCCTCCGGCCGACGCCCTCCAACGCAGTTTTTGCTGGCCCATCGGGCTCTAAGGAGAGGAAGAATCAGGATGCCTCCATCCTGCCCTTCGCTTGCTTCGTGGATGTAGCCCTCGTTCACGCCAGTAAGCACTTCACATGGGCGACGTCATCACGACGGCGGGGTCCATCATCAAATCTGCAAGGAGCAGATGAGTGATCAGCCAGCAGGAGACTGGAGGGCAGGGCTCCTCATGGCGACAAGTGGGAGCAGACGGAGGGATCTGTTGAACGTGCTGCGCGAGTGCCGCTGGCGCGCGGACGCGCGAGGACGAGGACGAGGGGGACGAACGGAGTATGGAAAGGAGGAAAAGGAGGAAAAGGATTGAGGAGGGATGGGGGAGGAGGGAGGGAAGAGCAACAGACGGTTGGAAGCGAGGATGAGGAGGGGTATGAGTGGAAATTCGGCGGCTCAACGGGCCAGACGCGTGCTGTGATCTGCGGTTGCTAGTTAATTAGAAGTTTTATAGTTCGCGCGCGCGGGGCCGCCCCTGGGGGCCCCTGGATCAAAAGTACCCCGGCTGATCCCCGGCGAACCTTTACTCGGAGATGGTTGTCCTTCTGGGTGCGGCCTCTCAGGCCCCCCAGAGTGCGCCAAGAGAGCCCCAAGAGGCCCCCATGACGGTTCAAAAAGGCTCCGAGTCACCGAACGATTAGTCCAAGACCCCAAGGTGGCCTCCAGCAGGCCTAAGAAACCTGCAAGACGCCCCAAGCATCCTCCAATAGACCTCCCAGGAGGGCCCCCAGAGGCACACATTAGTGATTTGCCATAAATGTTTGAAAGATTTTGGCGTTCTCGCCCTTCCACTTTCCGACGCTCCAAGATGGCCCCAGAGGCCCCAAGACCGCCCCAAGACGGCCCGAGAGGCCCCTCGAGCCCCAAGACGGTCCAAGTGGGCCCCCAATCGGCCCAAGAGGCGCCGAAGATCGCCCAAGAGGGCCACAAGACGGCCCCAAGAGGGGCCCAAGAAGGGGAACACGAATCGGCAATTCGAGTCTTCCGCCCCAAGAGGCACCCAGGAACAATACGGGCCGGCGGAGTGAGCGAAACGATTAAGCAAGTAATAGTGGAGGACAAGGAGGAGGGAGGAGGAAGGGGGGTAGAATAGAGGTAAGAGGATGAGCAGAAGGGAGAAGAGGATGACAAGGAGGAGGAGAGGGAAGATGAGGAGGACGGGGAGGAGAAACATAACAACACACCACCATGATCGTACGACTGATCACCATACGAATACTGATGATAACAACAACTGAAACGGAGGGAGAGGGAGAAAGCGAGCGCGAGAGAGAGAGAGAGAGACAGAGAGAAACAACAAGAAAAAGAGAGAGGTTGACGGCCCAATACGAAGAGTTCGTCACTCCCGCGTTCTGCCCTCTCCTCCCCGTGGGCTGGCGCGACAGAGCCGGGAAAAAGGGGGGTAACAGGAGGAAGGGGAGGTGGGAAGGAAAATGGGGGGGAGAAGTGGTGAAGAAGTGGGGGGTGGGGGCGCGGGGGGCAGGCGGCAAGACGGCGGAAGGGAGGGAGGGGAGACGGGAAGGAAGGGGAAGCAAATGGGGAGGCAGGTGGCAGGACGGTGGGAGGGAGAGGGAGGAGGGAGAGGGAGGAGGAGAAAGAGATTCAGGAGAAGGTGGACAGAACGGAAGCGGAGTAGAAAGCCGCTGGCGGCGGCGCTCCTGATGAAGGACAGCGCCTCGGACAGCGGGCGCCTCTCCCGCGTGACGAGATACGCCAGGCATACGGACACAGACCGGCTCTTGCCTGCGAAGGGGGCGCGGACCAGGGAGGCCCCGGGAACGTGGAGGGAGGAACGGGAGAGGAATGATCACAGGGAGGGGCAGAGAAGAGAAGGTGGAGAGGAGTCGGACGGGAGGGGAACTGCGATGCAGAGGAGGACGCGGGGGGAGGAGGTGGAGGACAGGGAGAACGACGAGGCGGAGGCGGAGGAGGAGGCATGGAGAGGATGAGGGGGGGACGAAGACGACGAGGAAGGGAGGAAGAGGAAGAGGATGGTGAGGAGGAAGAGGGGGTTGAGGCAAGGGAGGATCAGGAGGAGAGGATCAGGAGGAGAGGATGCAGAGCATCGATCCCCGAAGGAGGAGGAGGAGGAGGAGGAGGAGGAGGAGGAGGAGGAGGAGGATGAGGATGAGGAGGAGGAGGAGGAAGAGGAGGAGGAGGAGTACGAGCCTGTGGACGCAGTGTCCCTCCTTACGCCTACGAGAAGGGCCCCTCCCCCTGCAACCCAAGACGAGGGCCCCGAGGTCCCACTTGTGAGGACCTTCTGGGCCGCCAAGACAGCCTTCGGAACACATTGGGGGCAGGGGTGGAGGCCTCGGAAAATCCGCGCAAGGTTCCCCTTCTCCTTACGCGATGACTGGCACGGCTGGCTCAAGTGCCTGCAGTCCGTCGAAGCCGTCTTGCCGCAAACGGAACAGAGAAATAGAAAGCTCAGGCCATGATTGCAAACAGTGCGAGCAGTGTGCCTGCACGCCGCCCACAAAGATCGGACCCTGTGCCGCCGCAGCACTCCTCGGAAAGGCAAAACCTCCCCCAAGGAGCGGGGGAGAAGGGGGAACACAAACAGTGCCGGCGGCATCCAGGACCTGGGCGGACAAAACAAGTTTGCGGCAACCCTTGAAAAGCACGCGGCCCTGGACCTTGTCCCAAGAGTGCTGACTTCGACCGAGCGCAGATCTGGAGACGAATCTGGGTCGGCGGACGGTTGCGCCCGACACGTTCTGAATTCCAAGGATTTCGGGAAATCGTGTCTGAAAGCTCGACACGCCCGTCACCGAACAAGGGCAGCGATAGCATCCCATTCGTCGGTCCGAGACCCACTGCCGACGATGCATCGCGACGCCCGACGGGCCGCGTCCCCAGCCGCCTTATCGGCACACACGTTGTCCACGGCAACATACTGAAGACCGTCACGTTCGACACGCTCGACATCTTCGTCGAGGTGGCTCGGAACCCAGGCAACTTCAACATCAGCTGAGACCGATCCTTAAGCTGACAGGGCGGCCCCCACACGCACTCACAAATCACCGCTGCTGCCGATACGATACAAAATGCGAAGCGCCTGGTGTTCCAACCGTCGAGCAGAGATCGATCATCGGTGCGGAAACGATTTTTCCCGCAGGCCGCTTGAGGTACAAGACAAAGGCGAGCAACTTCGCCCTAGATGCAGTCTGCCTTGACCCCCCCCAGGCCTCCGACGATGATGGCGGCAGGCGTCCACGATCCCCCGTCTGGCCGTAGTGCGACAGCAGCAACTCCGATTCGGCGCCGACGAAGGTCATCTGTATGCGGTCCGCCAGAGCCGTTGCCAGAGCAGGCGTCTCCTGCTCTGACTGTAACCGTTGGCACGCCACCTCCGAATCATACTCCGCCTGCTGTTGACGTTCGCGAGCCCACTGGCCGCCGCTGACCAAGACGACGGTCTGCGCCCACACGTCGAGGTCAGCCTTGACCATGTGCCTCTGTCTGGAGCTCCCGCCACGCGCGCATCATGTCGCCGCCGTTGACGAGGCTGTCGCCAACAGGGTGCAGAGCAGCACGGTGCCACATGCGACGACGGAAATCGCCGACCATTTCCCCGGGAAGCCCAGAGGCGTCAGCGACAGCAAACCCATCGTCATCGGATCCAGGGATGAGCCACTCGTCCACTGAGTCGGGCCCTGAGGCGACTCAGGGCGCCAGTCGATGTCCAGCAGCACGGCGACGACGGCGGCAGCTGGCCCGCGGACGCGACGCCACCGACGGGGCCCCGCCCGAGTGAGGGCAGCCAACAATCGGGGCCACGCGCGTCGGATACGATCGTGGATGTCGGGTCGGGTCCGCCACAGCTCCAGCCACTGGCTGACCACCTGCCGCCTGAGTTCCAGCCCTGGGTCGCGCGGCCCGTAGAGGGCGGCCAGCGTCGACGTCAGGCAGCGGCCAGGGCCCTTGCCGACGGCAGCCGCCGCAGCGGCGCGGCGCAGCTCCAGCAGGGGCGACGGCGCCAAGCCGGCAGCCTGGTGGCCGTAGGTTGCCTGCGGCTGCGCGCCAATCGCCCAGGGCATCGTGGTCATCTTTGCCGTGCGGACCTCGCTCCGCATCCGAAGGATCCTGGCGAGGCGCCTTCTGGCAGCCTGGAAGCGCCCCATGGACGCCCAGGTCGACCGCCTGCGGGGCGAACGATGTCGGAAACCCAGCCGCCCAAGCCCAACGGCCAACGTCCGCCCCAAGGCGAGGTCGGAGCACAGCAGGGCCGAATTGCTGGATACGACGAGGCCACCCAGGTCGAGGCCGTCCTTGAGAGCGACCGCTGTCCTGTAGATGTCGGGCTTGACCATCTGGCAGGCCCCGACGGCCCTGAGCAGTGTCGCCGACGAGCGCCCGCAGCTGGGCTCGCTCACAGGCGCGGCACCCCCGAGCGATCATAGGCCCAAGGAGCACCTGGGCAAACCTGCCACCATGGTAGGACCCCGCCACGACGGACCGTTCGGCTTGAATCCAAAGACCGAGCCAGGCACGTTGCCGGAGACGGCGGGGACCTGCGAACAGCTGCGCCTCCATGGCCGCGACGACGGCGGGGAAACCCTGCTGCGTGGCTGCGGCCAGCATGCGGAAAAAAGGTAATCGAGTCGTGGAACTTCTCGATGTCGAGGCAAGAGTGGCCGTGATCCAGCCGATCTCGACGTCGCATTCGTCCATGCAAGAGCGGCATGCAGCAGCGCGAAGAGCTGGCGACCCACGGATGGCCGTGTCCCACCACTCGGCATGCGACTCGCCCCACTCGTCCGTCCGTTGTCGTCGTCGTCGTCGTCGTCGTCGTCGTCGTCGGAGGAGGAGGAGGAGGAGGAGGAGGAGGAGGAGGAGGAGGAGGAGGAGGAGGAGGAGCGGACGTCGCCTGAGAGGGCGCGTCTGTCTGTGAGCAGCGCTACGGTACGCCAGCCCCGCCCGACAGATATGCGGGCAGCTTCAGGGCACGGCGAGCGGCTGCAACGGCGGTCGTCTGCTTGCTGCAGGTCACTGGGATGTCGTAGTCTTTCGTGAGGTGGCATGCCCTGGTGGCCACGGAGAGCCTGGCGATGCTGTTTGGGATGCCGTTCTCGCCATGGAACGGCTCGGTCAGCTCGGGGAGGCCGAGCCTCGTCATGATGTTGGTGCTCAGCTGGCCGCGCGGTAAGCTCAGCTGGTGCCGCATCATTTCGCAAACTAAGTAGTGCTGGATGCTGTCGCCGGCGCGCAGACACCCGAAGTGGCGTGGGCGCTTGTTCGGGATCACGCGCATCCTGCGCGAGGTCGCCCACGCGCCCGCGAGGACCGTCAAGGCGCCCCACGGCCTGGAGGGGGGCAGGGTCGCGAGGTGGGAGCGGAGGCGCATCCACCGAGCGGGGGGATCATCAGGTACCTGCTGGGCTTGAAGAAGATTGCGATGTGCGTCGGCGTCGGCAGGTGGGTCTTCGGCGCCCATGTCGTCGTCGTCGCGGTGAATGTCGCCAGGGTCGGCGTCGGGCTCCAGCAATGGCAGGGCGCGGGCAATCGAGCGGCGTCGGACACGGTGTTGGGCAGCCTCGTGGCTGAGCAACGAAGTGCGACTGCGCGGCGATCGGCTGCGTGGCGACTCGCCCAGGGCTTCTGTTCGGGACAGGCGGCGCTCCAGGATAATGCGTCCAGGGCCGCGGGGGTCCCGCGCTTGATTGCACATGTCGACGGCGATGCGGCGTCGCTGGGCGTCGGCAATGTACAACGGCTGGAACAAGCCGGCGCCGAGCGAGCAGGTGACGCACCAATGCCTCCAGTCGTCTTGGTCGTTGATGAGGCGGTCGTTCAACAGGCGGTCAGGCAGCCAGAGCGCGGCCCATGAACGCGCCCTGTTCAGAAGGCGCTCTTGGGCTCGTTCAGCTTCGCGTCGCGGTCCAGATGGCGGTTCTCGTGTAAGTTGGCGGGCAGGGTCCGGCGTGGGGCGCCGCGCGATCAGGCGGCGATTGATGGTGTCAGGCATGGTGTCGACGTAGAGCTGCCCGTTCAGCGACTTCATGTAGGTTTTCTGCGGCGTGAGCATGGCAGCGCTGCGGTGCGGGCGGCGATCAGGTTGTTGAGATAGGCGAGGGGTGTGGCATTGAAGGATGGCTTGCTGTCCTGCTCTGGCGGCGCGCTTGCGGATGGCGATCATGGCGGCTCGCGCGCGGGGTCGAGGCCCAGCAGTTCGTGTCAGAGGCTTGAGATGTGATCCCTGGCAGTCGGCGAAGAAGGTGGAGTTGATGACGCCCTCGAAGCGCTGGACGATGGCGGTCTTGATCTCCCAGCAGTCGTTGCACCGCGCCTTGCAGTGAAGTGGTGGCGGGGAGCTGGTTATATGCGGTGTCGCAAATTTCGCGATGTGCGCGTCTCCACTCTGTCACAGTGGTAGACGCCGTTCTCCAGAGAGCGGCGGTCAATTAGTTCTCGATGCCATTGGGGGCTTCCGCGTTCGTCCAGAGCGACATCGCGAGGACGTCGGACTTGGCGAAGCTGGAGGGGGCGACGCGCAGCAGCTTTTTGATGGCCTGCAGCTCCTTCTGCAGGACGCCCTCGGGCGGTTCGAAGAGCTGGCCGACGCGGCCCAGGGATGTGACAGCGGCGACGTTGCACAGCTTGATGCTGGGCTGGATGGGGGCGCGCGAGGCGGCGAGCTTCTCCGCGCGGTCCCGCCACTTCACTGCGGGGCCACGCAATTGGTCAGCAAACGTGGCGCCTGGGCTCACGTAGAAGCCAAGGACTCGATCTCGACGTTG